TGCTACTTGGTCCGAATGGAATTTCCCATTGGGAACCTACTAGCACTAAGTTGCTAACTGATTAGCAAGGTTTGCTTGCGAACCTTCCACCGCAATAATTCCACCCCCTTGATACTAGACTGATCACATTCACTTTATTCACTCACGTAAAGTCGTGCACCACTCGGGAGAATTTGGAAATGCAAAGGTTGGAACAGCTGCTTCCATATGACTTTAAGAGTAATTTGAAGAAAGTTCTTGACTTCAGGTAGATATTTGCTGCCTTCAAAGACTGTTTAATCTGAATAAATCAACACAGCAAAAATATAATTTGTGGAAAAACTAATGTTTTTTTTATGTACTTTTATAATATAAAGCTGTTTATTTGTTTCGTTTTCAAGATTTTTAACCACACACCACTTTGGCTTGTGTTTTATTAACAAAGTTTGATCATGCCTCTTCAGGTTGCCAAAAAGTCAACCAGTCAAAACATTTGAAAATTTTATTAAGGGAAGATCAAATGAAGGCCAGTTTCCCAAAGCAAATTGTGAAGTATCCCTTTTCGCTTCAAACTGAAGAAGGTTTAAGGAGACAGATATAAATGATTATACAAACTGACATGGTTTGTAGATTTTTATTTGAACTGTCATTTAGACAAGGTAGACAACACTGTGAGATTTTTCTTTGATTTCCCTGTTGCAGTGAATACATTTCAGCCTGATTTGCTTTGTGAGAATTTCCAGAAGACTCAGGGGGATGACTACCTGAAAAACAGCCCACAGTTAGTTAGACTGAAGGGTCAACTGTCTAACCAGGCAGTCAGCAGCACTATGGGGCAGGTAGCTTCCCCATTCTTTTTCAACCTCTACAACTCTGACATCCAGTACAAGACAGAGTCCTGTTATCTGTGAATGTCTGCTGTCCCTGCTCATATCAGAGATGGACAAGAAGCTGAGTATAGGGAGATGGCATGGAAGCAAACATCTGACCCTGAAAGTGAATAAAACAAGGGAGATTTTTGTAGATTTTAAGAGAAACAGGAACAAGTGAAATAATACAACCATGAAAGGAGAAGTAGACATGGGGAAGGGGCATGAATACCGTGTTGATCGCCTGTACTGGAGACATAACAATGAAGTTCTTTACAAGAAGGTAGAGAGCAGACTGTACATTTAGAGGAAGCTTAGGTCCTTTAGTGTTTACGACAAGATGCTGAATACCATGTCTTTTTCTCCCAATGTTTACATTTGATCACGGCTGCACTTGAGAAATGTAAATGCCATGAGAGCTGTACAAAACAAAATTTAATTTTGTATACACTCTGTGTATGGCAATAAAGTTTGTCTAAGTCTAAGATCTTCTATTAGTTTGTTGTTGAGTGTGATTTCTTAAATATTAGCATAGCTGTGTTGGAGAAAATCACTTTGACTATCTCAAAAAGAGTCTAGGGACTCCTCTTGAATCTCAGAATAGGATGTTACAAACAATATTTAAGTGTTATTAACAATCCCGTGAATCCTTCTGATCAGACTGATAAAGAGTGTCTTCAGTAAAAGGCTTTGCAGGTCAAGTGTAAGACAGACCACTACAGGAGATCCTTCCTGCCTAAACCATATAACATCTTTAACAACTCGTTAAAAGAACCATAAGAATTACGGCAACATTCAGTTTCCCATTGGGATCAATAAAGGATTTTTAAAATTTGAGTTTAATTGAATAAAAGCAATAATGATTTACCGTATATATTTTTTACTTACATTTTGTCTTGTTTTTGAAATGAGTAAATAAGGACAGATATTAATGAATGAACCAGTTTAGCAAACCAAAAATATATTTGCTGTCTTCCATTTCTTCTGGGACTGTGTTGCAGCAGTCTCAGCAGAGACTTCCAGACTTCCCTCTCACACAGAGACCTGCTGGTGGAAGCCTGAGCTGCTACCAGGCCAGCCATAGCCTTCCAGCGTTTCTTGGGTCCTCCTCTGGGCTCCATCCCGAGGGAGCCATCCAGGGGGCATCTGAAAAAGATGTCCGAGCCACCTCAGCTGACTCTTCTCGATGCTGAGAAGCAGCTCTGTCCGGGCGTCTCCTGCTTGACCAAGGTCCTCACCCTATCGCTAAAGGAGCACCCAGACACCCTGCAGAGAAAACTAATTTCAGTTGCTTGTATCCGGGATCTCGATCTTTCAGTCGTTATCCAAATTTTATAACCATAGATTAGGGTAGAAAACTACACCAGCTGATTCTCATCCTGGCCGCTTAACACTCGGCTACTAAACGCCCCAGGTCATGGTGTATAGATCTTGGCAGGAGGGAGCCAGCAGAACCACATTCTGCTACACTGCCCTATTTGGAGCCAAAGCACTGGTACACTGCCCTCTTGGGAGCCAAAGCACATGCTGAACTCCCCTCCAGGAGCCAAAGCGCATGCTAAACAGCCCTCTAGGGAGCCAAAGCACATGCTGAACTCCCCTCCAGGAGCCAAAGCGCATGCTA